TCTCATATTTTATGAGAATTCAATTTTTATTGATGAAGAAACAAAAGTTGGAATAAAATACAACTCAGAACTTATTTTTAGCATTTTGGCTTATATGAGTATACTTTTAATAGCGTGTTTTCACCCTTTCCTTTCCAGGGTCTCAAAGGACATCCAGGGCTCCCAGGGCTCAGAGGTGAACAAGTAAGTATTTCAAATACTTCCTTTACGAGACATATAGTATCCAGTGACAAAGACACACAGTAGGGAACTCCAATGAAATTATTTATCCCTGCTGAACTCTTTCAATTCTTCTTTCCAATGAGTTTTACTCTATTTTGTGTAAGTCAACCTTTTAATTATCTTTTGTGTTTTCTTTTTTCTTTTCAAACCCCAGACTAATGTCAACTATTTGCCTTACATGTTCCATACCAGCTCATAAACTTCTGTGGTTCACAGGCCCCCTGTGGAAAATCTCATAAATGTTATAAACCCTTTCACCTTGAAAATACATATATCCGTGCATATACACTCACACATATACAGCTGCTGTTTTTACTTTTCAGGGGCCAGTAGTTCATTAACACCTTTTATACAACTATTATTTCCCTGATCTTTGTATGGGGAAATAAAAGTAAATCCAAATTAGAATGGTACATATGCTGCTGTTCATTATACACATATACACACATTAAGTCCCCAAATAGTTTCAGGTCTTAGTTTTTGATCATCTTATTGCTTCTTTCTTCCACAGGAGCTTATTATATTATTATGTCATAGGGAAAAATAAAGTCATATTTCTTGCTTTCAATACAGCATGTACAAGGCCCATATGACTAAAGTAGTGAAAAGGGTAGGAAATTAGAAACTGATTAGAATGACACTGCAAAATGGGCAAGGAGGCCACATGTTCTGACCTCCTCTAATCCCACAAGAAGACAGAGTCACCATCAATAACCCAAGGCCTATTCCTGCAAGGCCAGACATGCTGCCTCCCTTCAGCCCTTTCTTCAACCATTCCTCCCAAAGCACCACCACCTCTCTCCTGGGTTTGATAATTCACTGCAGTGGCCACACAGAAGTCACAGATTATGAGGTTTATTAGGGAAGCACCAGGCTACAGTTCAAGTTCAGGAAAAACACTCAGTCTCTCTCCCAGCCCACTGTCTCTCAGCCAAGTCTCTCACAGTCTCTCTCCCAGCAGTGCATGTCCCTCGGTGTCTCACTCAGCAACGCGTGTCTCTTGCATCTCTTTCCCAGCAGCACGTGTCTCTTTCAGCAGCACGTCTTCTTCAACCAGCACTCAGAGAGAGTTCTGCCTCTAGGAGGCCTCCTTTTGAGCTTGGCAGAGTGGCCAAACTAGCCAATCATAGCATCAGAACTCTGAGCACCTGAGAGAGAACCTCCCATAACATTGCGTTGTGCCATGCCCAACAGAAATAACCCAGGTGGATAACATTTACAATCAGGAGCTCCTCAGTTGCTCATTCCACCACTGAGTTTACAATGATTTATGGGTAGAAAAGCCATACTAAGTAATTTACTACACTGCAGACACATACCATTATTCATGATTCAGCAAAGAGTTTCAGGAACCCTTTAAAGAGAACTTCGGGAAGAAATGTGGTTGATGATCCTGAAGGAAAAGATATGAGGATGAAACAAAGCTAATTTTTTCTTTCATTCATGTTAAATGGTACATTATACTCTGTTCTGTCCCTAAAGCACAATTTTCCAAGATAACTAATTTCTGGACATGGCAAGCAAAGCATTATATGTGTCAATTGCAGGTACAATCCCTGTTTCCTGAAAATCAAATAAATGCAAAAGGAAGGCATTTGAGCATTTTGGGAAGAAAATGAGGAGGTTGGGAGGAATATTTCCTTGGGGAGATTAAAAAAAAATAATCCCTAGAATACTGTTTTGGCATAAATATGTGAATCCAATGAAGAAAACAAGATTCCTCACAGGTAAGTGAAAAATTGACTATGTGTCAGTATTGATCAGCTCTCTCAACAACTGCTCTATAACCTAGGTCTGTTGGTATACATGTTACTGTTGTGAGGGTGTATAGTTTTTAGAAGAGCCTAAAACAATTTTAAATGGTTAAAAAATATACTTTGGAGTTAGTTCTTACTTTGTATTTCATTTTTGTCTAGAAAAGGAGAGGTGGAATCTGTGATAACTTTCAGGAACAACCAAAATAATTTTGCATCTTAACTATGGAAACACTAATGTCATTAAGTGGCTCATAATTGATTTACAAGGAGATATTCATTTCCAGAAAATTTGGAAATATTTATGTTCAGTATTAAACTATAATACTGTTAAATACACTACCAGTAGTATAATTATTTATTGACTATTCAACATGTGTTAAATAATTTAAAGCCCAGCAACACTAAGAATTACTGCAATTACCACCACATTAAATATTTTACTATACATTGTTTTATTTTCCCCCCACAATAATCCCATGACATATTAGATTCCATCAAGTTGGTTCCAACTCATAGTGACCCTATGTACAACAGAACAAAACAATGCCCAGTCCTGTGCCATCCTCACAATTGTTGCCATGCTTTTAAGCCCATCATTGCAACCACTGTGACAATCCATCTCATTGAGAGTCTTCCCCTTTTGTTGCTGACCCTCTACTTTACTAAGTATGATATCCTTCTCCAGGGACACATCCCTTCTGACACCATGACCAATGTAGAAGACATGACTCTGGCCATTCTCATTTCTAAGGAGCATTCCAGCTGTACGTTCTCCAATATTCAATATTCTTGCAATTCAAATGCATCAATTCTTCTGCAGTCTTCCTTATTCTTTGTTCATTGTCTTACATGCTTAAGAGGCTATTGAAAATATAGTGGCTCAGGTCAGATGTGCCTTAGTTTTTAAAGTTACATTTTTGCTCTTAAACACTTGAAAGAGGTCTTTTGCAGCAGACTTGCCCGGTGCGTTACGTCATTGAATTTCCCAGCTGCTGCTTCCATGGGTGTTGATTGTGGACCCAAGTAAAACGAATTATTTGACAACGTCAATCTTTTCCCTGTTTGTCATGATGTTGCTTATTGGTCCAAAACCAAAAACCCACTGTCATTGAGTGATTCCACTCATAGGGACACCCACTGGGTTTCTAAGGTGGTAAGTCTTTATGGAAGTAGATAGTCCAACCTTGCCTCTGCTGAGTGGCTGGTGGGTTTGAAACCCTTCTGGGTAGCAGTCAGATGCCCTAGGCACTGTGCTACCAGAGCTCCTTCTTATTGGTCCAGTGGTGAGGATTTTTGTTTTCTTTATGTTGAGGTGTAATCTATACTGAAGGCTGTACTTTTTGATCTTCATGAGTAAGTGTTTAAACTCGTTTTTGCTTTCAGCAAGCATTGTTTTATTTTCTCCCCACATCTGCATATCACAGGTTGTTACTGGCTCTTCTTCATCCTGAGGTCTCATATAATCCAGCTTCTCCAATTATTTGCTCACCATACAGATTGAATAAGTATGGTGAAAGATATAACCCTGATGCATACCCTTCCTGATTTTAAACCATGCAGTATCCCCTTGTTCTGTTCGAATGACAGCCTCCTGGTCTATGTATAGTTTCCTCATGAGTACAATTAAGTGTTCTGGAATTCACATTTTTCACAATTTTACCCATAATTTTCTCCTTGTATATATACATACATATACATATATGTACCTATATATACATATACATATGTATACATATACACATATATACATATATGTGTGTATATCTATATCTATGTCTATATCTATGCTTATACCTATATCTATAAAATAGATGTTAGGTGCTTGGTATCATGGTGGATACATCAAAAATGTTCAGTAAATTGTCATTTTGGTGCAAGGAATGGGAGGAGAAGAGGAAGGAGAAAAGTGAAAGAGAAAAAATTGAGAGATGGGTTCTGAAAAAGTAGAATAATATATGTCTGATAGAATCCTCAAGTTGCCCTTTCTTTACTCTGTTCTTTTTCTACAAGTACTAGTTACTGTTGAGTAGATTCTCACTCCTGGTAACCCAACACATACCAGAGTAAAACTGTGATGATTCAGAAGGAGATCACCAGGCCTTTTTTTGAAGTGCTTCCAAGTGGACTAGAACCTTCAACCTTTCAGTTAACATTTGAGCATATTAGCCATTTGCAATACCCAACAACTCCATTAGTTTTCTAGAATTTCCAAAATTTTAGGAGTCCTAAGGTTCCTATGAAGGTTGGGCAATCCTACTTCCGTAGTGATACTGCCTTGGAAACCCAAGGAGGGGTCGCTATGAGTCGGGGCCGACTCGACGGCAAATAACAACAAGAAGGTTCCTATATTTAAGATAGAGGTAACACACTTCTGCTACATCAGAGTGGGAGGACACAGTTTTAGTCTGTTTTATTATCTCTTTTCTAAACAGGTAGAAAGTGAATGTTCCATAAATGAGAAAAGTATGAAACTTAAAATGGTTGTCCCTATTTGAGGTTACATCAAGGCCACTCAACACACATTCTTTTAGCTTTCCTTTGATTCAAGTACTATTTAATAGAATTACATCCTCAATAAACTGATGAATGCATGAAGGAATAATGTAATGAAGGAAAAAGGAAAGAAGAGAAAAAAATGCAGGTATATTTCCTCTCACTTTCCTATTTAGGTCTGTGGCAAGTTTCTTATGCCTTTGAGTTTGCATCTATCAGCCTTCCTTAAGCAGACCTTGTTTTAAATCAGGAATACTAAATTGCCAATTCTAAATGAGCTTCCCACTCACAGTTTTACTCACTATGTAAAATTTCAGATAGACCTGTATTATAATAAAAGTATTTATTACCTAATATCTATTTATTTAACCAGATATTCAGTAAGAATGAGTGTATCTACAAACGAACAAGATATTGGTTTTAAATTTCATTCAGCATGTAGTTTTCTGGGACTTATGCCCGGACAGTTAAGGAGTAGTTCAGGATGAATGACACAAGAAATAATTCAATCTGAAAGGACACTGATTATTAAAGTGTATAACAACTCTTCCTCTACAATAAATGTCTTTAGTTATATCACTCTGGACTTTTCCATGTTACATTTATCATTATTTATGATCAGTGTCTAATGTAGGGCCTTAACCTAACAGTTTTATTTATTTTTATTTAGTAATTTTGGCCTATTTGTACTTCAAATACATGGTTTCAGCATATAAACAACATAGAAGACTCTTAGTATTTTTGTAAGGAGAATTCCCACCCCCCCAAACTTAAGTATTATAAAGACACTAAATGTGTTTCCTTGGCGTTCTTTTGACTATGCTGTATTATTTTATTTTATTTTTCATTTCAGGGAATTCCAGGATTCACTGGTAATATTGGTTCACCTGGTTACCCTGGCAGGCAGGTGCAGTAACTGCATTTGTACACCCCTTTTATGTCCCTCTTCCTTAATACATTGTATGTTCTGATAATGACAATTAATGTTCAAATGACAAACTGGTTTATTTTTATTAAGTAATGAACTACCCATAGCTAAATAATATCAAAATAACAATTGTAAAAAATCTTTTCAAAAATTTTACTGCAAAGTCTATTTAAAATAGGAGTGAGGTTTTTAAATATGTTCGGTGTGATAAACAGTGGAGCCTCTGAAGTTAAAGTTCCTCATGATCTAGTAGGATGTTAAAACAACCTTGCTATTCATTTTACAACACTACCACTGCCTAGAGTGAATAGTAATACTTAAGACTCTCTATAGGAGCTCTGGTGGCGAAGTACCTAAGGCATTTGATTGCTAACCAGAAGGCTGGTTGTTAAAACCCACCAGCCACTCCTCAGAAGGATGATTGGGCAGTTTACTTTGGTAGTGATACCACCTCGGAAACCCAAGAAGGGGTCTCCATGAGTCAGATCCTACTCGACGGCAGTGAGTTTTGTTTGTTTTTAAGACTCTATAATAAGCATCATTTTGAAATAGCGCAGTTATAAAAACTTGGGAAACAGTTAGCAATGCTACATATACCACTATTAAATGCTCTTATCTGTATTGCATTTAGGTTTTTGTACTGCTTTAAAATTTCATTTTATTCATTTCATATTTTATTTCCCTATAATTTCTAATTTTTCAATTTAATGTAGACTAATGATAGGGCAGGAGCTCTGGTAGCATAGTGGCTAAAGCACTTGACTGCTAACCAGAGGGCTGGCGGTTCAAACCCACCAGCCACTCCTCGGAAGGAAGGTTGGGCAATCCTACTTCCGTAGTGATACTGCCTCGGAAACCCAAGGAGGGGTCGCTATGAGTCGGGGCCGACTCGATGGCACATAACAACAACAACAACAACAATGATAGGGCACATTTTGCCTTTCCAGATTTTTATGAATTTATTACTTACTCTGAAATTAATTATTCATTATTAAACTAGAAAACTGTGTTTATAATAGTTTTTATTCTCAAGAATGAGGGAAATAAAACTGCCAAATAAAATAATCTTTTGTTAACAAAATTCATGTTTTTAGGATGTTAAAGATACCTGGAGATATTATATGTAATAACCTTAGCGTAAAGTGGTTATATATGTTAGAAGAAAAGCACAAAATATAAATACATAAACATACGGACATTGTTCTAAACTTAAATATGTATTCTTTTTTTAAAAAAAATATATAAGAAGTCAAGGAAATAAGTTTTAGAATAAGTTTATTATAAGAGTTTTAAAAGATCCATGTAATTCCCCAATGAGAAATAATTTAATAAAAAAAAATTGCATCTTACAATGTATGTAGATCTGCTTTATTTAGACAGCTAAAATATATTTGCATATGAATTACATCCAGTGCCTCTTTTGGTTCTGAAATTCTAAATTTCCCTGAACATTTGTAATCATTTTTAAGTATATGGAATCCTGAGTTTTGTAGCTGTGAAAATATCTCTTTATACACACTTATTAATCTATAACAACTCTTTAAAAAGTACTTTAATGTAATAAAGGTGTCTTTTGTTCACACTAGGGTTTAGCTGGACCAGAAGGTAATCCAGGTCCTAAAGGTGTAAGAGTAAGTAAGCATTTTTATCATCTTTTTAAGCATACTTACATTGCAAAACAGTAGAATGAAGTACATAAAATGTTTATCAGTTTCACATTTTCTTAAAAGCTTAGCTTTCTTAGGAGCTTTGCATTTTATATAGGCTTTCCTTGAAGTGATGTAAACACCTGCTTAATAGTTACTTTCACTTTTATGCCTACAGAAAGGAGCCTTATAGTGTAGGTTTTATCGTTCTTTTCAATTAATTTCCTAACATAATTTCTGGCTTATTAGAATGTACTCTATCAGCATTCACAGTATTATTTAAGTAAGAATATTTACAGATGTAAAAAATCATGATGAAAAAATATATGAAGAAATTTACATTGGTTAAAGATGAAGATAATTTTATAATTTGAAAATTATCAAGAGTAGAGAAATATCTTCAAAGAATGAAATACGCTTACCATATCAAGGACTTCCCACTGGACTTCACAACCATTTAAGGAATCATTGGCTATAAGATGTAAACAAAATTACTATGATATTCATGATATATATATTAAAAAAAAAAAAAAAACAAACTCACTGCCATCAAGTTGGATCTGACTCATAGAAACCCCTTCTTGGGTTTCTGAGGCAGTATCACTACGGAAGTAGATTGCCCAGTCTTCCTTCTGAGGAGTGGCTGGTAAGTCTGAACTACCAGCCTTCTGGTTAGCAGTTAAATGCCTTAGGCACTATGCCACCAGAGCACATGATATACAGTGTGCTACAAATTAAAATCAAAGTTTGTTCTAGGAAAAATTAGTAAAAGTAAGCTAAAATTTTCCAAAGTCTACATTTATACCTTAAATTATCTAAAATCCAACACCACCACCACCAATTGCCAGTGAGTTGATTCCAACTCATGACAATCCAGTGTGTCAGAATGGAAGTGTACACCATAAGGTTTTTGATGACTAATTTTTTGGAAATTTATCATCAAACCTTTCTTCTGAGGAACTTTAGAATCAGCCAAGTGTGTCTTTTATCTAAAATACCTTTTAGACAGCATCAAGGGTCTCCTATTTATAATAACTTCTATAAATACGCATCCAGTCTTTAAGCAATACATGCTGTATCAATTCCTTACATTTCCAAAGATTCTTAAA